AGGGTTTCAACGAGGCGATCCGTACCAGCACCTTTGCAACTGCAATGTTAAACCAAACCACCAGGCTTGCTTAGGTTGTGGCAGCCACCAGCATGGCACCTCAGGAACTGAATCACGCCGGCTAAAATGCCCAGCATGGGGACAAACATGTAGTAATTGTGGGAAGCCCAATCACCTATCGAGGGTATGCCGGGCTAAGAAACCAGCTCAAGCGGTCAGGAAAAGCCTCCGCCATGGACACACTTATCGCCCACATCACATTCAATCAAACGACAGGCACGTATACGTCTAAAGACACAGGCCAGATAAAGGGAAATTGATGCATATGTTGTTCCATTTTCGCCAAAACCGGATCCCAGACAAATTAAGAATATCCCCAGAAATCACAGCACTAGGATGACAATCTTTCCTGACAGTGGGGCCACCATATGTCTCAGGGACTTAAGCACCTTCTGAATATGGGGCTCACTATCGACAACCTCATTCCATCAAGAAAAGTCGTCCGAGCTGTGGGAGGCTTTTCGTATGTCAGGGTTGGCTCCCGTGGAATTCATCGTCCAAGGAAGAACAACTAAACAAGCCCTATACATATGCAAAAAGATTCAGCGGCTATACTTCAGCAAAAGCAGCCTGCATTGATGTAGGGATACTGTCCAAAGACTTCCCAAAGCCTACAACTACAATATTTTGCAACACATGCCCTCGACAAGCAAATGTAAAAAAATCGGACGTGAGCCCTAAACAATGCAAAGTCGAGGGACAACTTCCAACACGCCCCAAAAACTCCCTTTTCTTCCAACAGAACAAAACATTGATAAGCTCAAGAATTGGCTATTAAATCAATTTGCCGAAACAGCGTTCAAGAACAATGGTTTGTCTGGCCCCACTGCATATACACCTCAAAGAAGGAGCAGTCCCCCAAAGCAAGACATAACCCACCTTGTTTTTCACTTGATTGGGAAGATGTGAAAAGGGGTTCATAACCCCAGTACCCGTTGGCATGCCCGCTGATTGGTGTAGCACTATGGTAATTACCGCAAAAAAAAAAATGGCAAACCACGAAGAACCATAGACTACCAACACCTGAATTCACAGTGCAAACGGGAAACACACCATTCACCATTCCAGCTAGCACTACAAGTGCCAAACAAAAGAAAACGGTGTTGGATGCTGTTGATGGATATCATTCCATCCCCTTAGATAAAGAGTCCCAGCCAATCACCACCTTCATCACAGAATGGGGAAGGTTCATGTACCTGAGAATGCCACAAGGATACCTAGCATCTGGCGATGCCTACACCCGAAGATATGATGAAGTAATAAAAGACATCCCCGCAAAGTAAAAATCGTGGATGACACCCTACTCTATGACTCTGACATCGAAGGAGCCTTTTTTCACACCTTCGATTTTCTCCTCCATTGTGCAAAAACGGCATCGTAATAAATAGAGAAAAATTCCAATTTTGCCAAGACACGGTGCAGTTTGGGGCCTCCAAATAACATCTTCTGGTGTAACCCTTCTAAATCCATGCTGGAGGCAATTTTGAGCTTCCCAATACCAAAAAACACTCACCGATGCCAGATCATGGTTTGGGCTGGTCAACCAAGTCGCTTAAGCATATTCACTAAGCCCAGTCATGCTTCCATTTCGTGATCTCGTAAAACGAGACTCACACTTTACATGGAATAAAAGCCTGGAGGATGCATTCCAGCAGTCAAAGAAGGTCATAGTTGACTTAGTCCGAAAAGGCATCGCAACATTTCAAAAAAAGAAAGAATAACCTGCCTTTGCCCCAGATTGGAGCAAAGACGAATGGGCTTCCTAGAAGTATTGCTCATGCACCACTGACAAAGCCCCAGTTTGCTGCCCTGAAGGTTGGCGCCTGATATTTGCTGGTAGCAGATTCTGCATTGATGCTGAACACAGATATGCACCTATTGAAGGCGAAGCAGCAGCAATTGCATGGGCATTGGAAAATGTCGGATTTTTGTAATGGGTTGCCCGAATCTCATAGTGGTTACAGATCATGAACCACTAAAAGGATTATTCGGAGATAGAGACCTTAGTAAAATCCAAAACCCCCGATTATTCAGGTTAAAGGAGAAAACCTCAGGTACAGATTCACCATTCAGCACTGCCCTGGGAAATGGCACAGAGCCTCCGATGCTGTCTCTCGTAACCCAGCAGACATCTCACAGGCACTCCTAAATGTATTCACTGCTGAACCCTCTCAATCAGACATCATAGAGTCTGACAACATGGATGATGGGTCAAATCAAAAACCTTATTAGCAACATTCGGTGCAAATGACAACCTGGAGCTCATCTCAGCAGACGTTATCCGTACGGCGGGACGCAGCGACCCGCAATACAAAAAATTAATAGAAGTAATACAAAACGGATTCCAAAGAACGCGCATCCTCACTGCACCTGAAATCCGCGAATATTGGGAAGTGAGGCACCGCCTAAGTGTTGACGACGGGTTAGTGCTCTTAGATCAAAGAATTGTTATCCCCCACCTCACAACGCGCAAAATATTACATAGCCTACATTCTGCACATCAAGGCGAAGTTGGCATGAAGGCACGTGCCAATGAATCTGTTTATTGGCCCGGGATGAATGCTTCAATTCGTAATATTAGAGCAGGTTGTACGTTCTGCTCAAAAATTGCCCCGAGTCAACCAAAAGAGCCAATCAATTTGACACCATCTCCTGATTGGCCATTTCAGCAAATCGTCATGGACATCTTCCATGTTGGAAACCATGGTTATTAGCATGCGCTGACAGGTTAACGGGCTGGCTGAATCTATATCACTTGAGCCACGGAGAAGCTAATGCCTCAAGGATTATTTCGATTTGCCGAGACATATTTCAAACCTACGGCGCTCCTGAGGAACTCAGCAGTGATGGTGGGCCACCTTCACATCTCTTCCATTCAAGCAATTTTTGCAAGACTGGGCTGTTAAACAAAGGTTATCATCTGCTGGTTACCCACAATCCAATGGTCGAGCAGAGCTCGCTGTCAAAAAAACAGCCAAGAGAATCGTAAATGGCAACACAGGAGCCCAAGGATCATTGGATAATAACCGTGCAGCAAGAGCCATCCTCCAATACAGGAATACGCCCATTCAAAACATTGGGCTATCCCTGCTCAACTACTACTCCACCGCCGACTACGTGACTACATACCATCCCACCCAACACTCTATAAGCCACACGCGAATTGGATAACCGCAGCACAAAATCGTGAGATAAGTTTGTCCCGGTGGAACGCTCGTCTCATAGAGCGATACAACAGAACAGCACACACGTTAAACCCCCTTCAAAAAGGACAAATAGTGGCACTACAAAGACCAACAACCCGTCGATGGGACACAACAGGTCAGGTCATTGAAACCCTCCCCAACCACCAATACCGTATCAGAGTTGACGGATCAGGTAGAATTACCTTACGAAATCGCCGATTTCTCAGGAAACTGGATACACCAACAATTCCAGTTCCAAGACCTAGTGCAATACCTGATACCCCTACACCAGTGCAACAAACAGTCGACGCTGGAATAACATCAAACACTGCTCAGCCGTCTACAATAACACGGACAAAACCCCTCGGGCATTGTCCAGACTACTTCCACACAACCAGCCAGGTTTAAAGAACTCATCCCTCCCCAAAGGCCACTACCCACACGCGATGGGGGAAGAGATGTAGAATAACAATAATAAAAAGCACTTACCGGCGTAAGAGTTCCAACTAGCGTCCAGCTGGCAGACAAAAATAAAAGCAGGTTGTAACTTAATACATATCCTGCAAACTGAGAAATCATGCTAGTATTTATATAGTAATACTTCCACTCAGGTACCAGCAGCCAATCACAGCCCAAGCAATGGACTATCCCACTTTAGCATAATGAGATGCTCCATTGCACCATAAATAGCTCTGTCTCTATGTTGAATTAGTGCTTCACTCAGCTTGCTCCACAACTGAGTGGTTATCTTTACCACGTGATTGTTCGACAATATAAAACCTTGTTATTGTGTATCAATTGTTTATTTTTATGCCGCATCTCTCTGCCATACGTACCTTACAGTCAAAACCTTCGTCATCATAACTATGTGGATTATGAAATCATAATGTAGGCTTTGATGTCAAGTACGAAGTTCATGCAAATGGCCTGGGATTATAAAAACTACAATGTTGAAAAACTCATCCTTCATGCAAACTATCATAATATAACATTTTACCTCCACTTTTGTTCATATAGAATGTCTTTCAATTTAAAGTCTCTTCTTGTCTTATTGGGTTTTTTTTTATTCATAAGTTTTTGGGGGGTTTTTTCAGTTACTTAAACATTTCATATTTTTTCATATGAAAATATAAATAGTTTTTATTTATATGTTTTTAAAGAAAATGTTCCAGAAAATTGATTTTCTCAACTGGATTCACAAATTCGAAAGCCGACATTTTTTTTATTAATTTCATGAAAATACTTTTTGTTTGTTTTATGAAATATGCGAATGATATTTCTAACAAATTCCCGATGAAATAAAAAATGATATTTCCCCTCGAATCTAATCCTCATGGATTGGCAAGAACTAATACTAAAGATGACCTTGTTTTCTACCTGATCATATTCTGTATGAATTATTAAAGCAAAATTTCACTATGTTTCAAGAAATAAAACAGCATTTTTAATTTCATTTCTGCCTGTTACGATTATTATAGAATATTTTACCTGATAATTACTATCAATCTCTAGGCAGATTGCTACCTAGTCTGTAGTTAGCATTAATGTCGGAGAATTCCCCTAATGAAATCAACGACTACATATCCGTGACGAAAGAGACCCATCAAGTTCGAGGACCTCACGTATTGTTTGACCTGGAATAAGAAAAAGGTCTGCCAGATCTGCTTGCCTAAAACACACAATGCTTGAATGAATATTCCTCCGGCTTTCAAGTCAGATATATTTAAGGAAGTGGCCAGAGGATCAGTTGCGCAGTCATGGGACAGATGATGATGATGATGATGATGAGGATGATGGCGATGATGATGATGATGAGGATGATGGCGATGATGATGATGATGATGATGATGATGATGATGATGATGATGATGATGAGGATGATGGTGATGAGGAGGATGATGATGATGATGATGATGATGAGGATGACTGTCAATTTCTAGATCTCACATTCCCGTGCATAATACCAAAATTTAACAAAATTTATTACAAATCTCTTAATTTTATAAAGGATTTTGAAGTTCTTTAATATTAACAATTCATTTTATTTAAATTGTAATTCAGAAAAAAATAAATTTTCATTCATTCTCTTGCCGTTTTTCTCACCAAACAATATATCATCACTAGAGATTAAAAAAAAAAAACAGACTTAATAGTGTGAGCTTCATTACTAACACCAAACATGACATTATAAAATTATTTTGAATTCAATTTATCTAATTTTAAATTGTCATTCAAGAAAATGTACATGTTTCATTAAATAATAATATAAAATCATTTTATCAGCATTTGATTCATTGGACAGTTTTAAAATGTGTATTTGCAAATCCAGTGGAATTCGAATCGTCAATAAATGTGTGGCCCTTTATTAAAAAAATAGATGCATTTCTATAAATTGACAGCAACGAAAATCTAACAAATCCTTATTGTGGTGAGATGTTCAGCAAGATGAACATGTAGATAATTAGTAGTGATTTTGATCCTTACTGTGTGTCCTATATTTATGTCCATATGCCAAAATACGCTAAGCTTGATCAATAACAAGGAGACATTTATATCATCATACCAAGAACCGAGTTGTGGGGTAAAGTTTGCAATAAGATAAATAAGCTTTAAAAATAGGAAGAACAAGAAGAAAAACTCTCCTGGTGCTTGTATTGAGTGTGTAACCAAATGCTATCAAATAGGTGATTCCTAGACAAGTTGGAAGGAAATCTACATTATTAAAGTTCTGTGCAAATGACAACTTTCCGGCAGATCTTATGGACCATTCTGCGAACTTAAGCGAATAAAGTTCCCCTGAAAAGAAACGATAGTCTTACAGAAAGAAAAAAGAAATGCAATAGAAAGGGAATAAGTAGTCGAATGTACAGGCCATGTATTTCCTTGGCACAACCTAATTAATGTTTATATTTGGAATGATTATATTACATATAATAATGAGCAACTTCATTGACATTTAGGGTTTATTATAAGTTGAAAGATATTTATTTCAATTAATAGTAATGCTTCACATTTTTAGATAAACACAGAACTCAGAATTATAATTAGGATTCATGTATCATTTTCGAAGTTATTTTATATCATTGAATAAATTAGTGATGCAGCATGGTATTATTTTACAAAAGGGACTTCTCATAATCAATTCATATGCTATTACAATATTCGAACCTTTCTATGTAGTACGATATTTCTTTTCATGTTGACACTGAAGAAAACGTTTGTTTCGACAACTTGAAAAGAAAAAATCTAGACTGTTTAAGCACGTGCGGAAAAAGAATCTTGGAAAAGGAAAATTCATTTCAAACTGGATCAAGATCTCTTGTCTACAATTAGAGGCCCTGGAATATAAATATCAGCGTCCACATCCCAGTAGCATTCATAAATATACTATATATAATCTTTTTGTCCCCAACATCATTGACAAATATGTAATTAAGAGTATAGTATGAACACACACACACATAGACATGTACATGCACATAAGCATAAATGCAAGTACTAACTACATAAAGAGATAAGTTCCTTGTAGATTATAAGATTACGTCCAGATTAAAGCAACTTTTAATATTGCTCACATAGTTTTATCTTTCTTTTTTGAGTTCCAGAGTAATAGTATCACTGTTGCCTTAAAAACAAGTTTGTTACGCAAGTTGTTATTGCCATTTCATAAAATCTTTCCTTCTTTCCACGCCGTTAACAGAAGGTGAATTAAAATTTATTCTGTTCAAATGATTTTAAATCATGAAACTGAATGACGAAAACTAAAATGGGGTGGAGCTTCAATTTGCCAATCTTCTGATTTCTTTGTTCCACTTCCATGTTGTATTTTTTCTTTTCTCTTTTTTTTTTTTTTTTTGCTTTCTTTCTTTTGTGACACTCTTCCCGACCATCTAAATTTCCTATGATGTCATCATTTTCTTCCTTATTGTTTTGCACTCATTTATACCAGTCTCACACCCACTTTCTCATACTTTCTTTGTTCTTTTTTTTGCATATTTTATTCTTTTGCAAAAAGATTATAAATCTCTTCCAAATTCAAACACCTTTTTAAAACATCGTTCATTCTTAAAATATTGATGTTCTTTTCCTTTCTTTCCCTTAAACTTTTTCCCTCTTTTTTTATCTATTCACTTTATTCTCTCTTTTCCATTTCTATTTGACCTCGAAATGACTAGAAATTTATTTACGAATAGCTTTTCATAGCTTTACTAGCTTTTCATTATTTAACCATCTCCACTTCAATTTAGTGGAGATAGATTTTTAAATACTCTCTGTTCTGTACAAGGAACAAATATTTTCTGAATTTCTAAGTATTTCCCTTCTTTCATTCTCACTGCTTTCTAAATTCGTCTAGTCATCAATCTTACTGCTTTTTTTTTTCTTTCGTTTTTCGACATTCTCTACTCTCTTCTCGGACACGATTCCTCAAAACGGACAATGTTACTCTTCTAAACTCTCCCATTTCTTCTCTAGCATTCACGTTGACACACCCACTTAGGCTGGATAATAATTCATTGCTGTTACAATCTATAAATAATAGTTGATAGGTCATGCGCTATCTGGCATAGTAGCCTGCTATGCAATTTTAGTGTGATTCATACAACTTGAACCTTAATAGTTGGAGATTTTGCTGTGTTGATATCGGATGTTGCTCGCAGAGTGTGTTCATAGTAATGAGGCTCCTAGAAACTGTTGTGATGAATGATCAGAGGATAGTAAACGAACGAGTAACGCTAACAGTGCAGACCTTTTCCAAAAAAATACATTTGTGTCACTTGCTGATATATTTGATTAAAAACATGTCACTGCTGCAACACTAGTGATGGATGTGGTACTGACGACAGCAGAAGATACTTAAATTGTAAATGAGACCAATAGTTAGTTTCAAGTCTTTGACAAGACTGACGTAACGAGCCGGAATATATTGGTACAACTACAATGTGTTATGTTTTAATATTTACTGGAATCAACATCCTGGTCGTGAAAATGAAAAGCGCTCATTTTAAATAATTATAATGAAGCAAATTAATGAAGGCAGATGAAGAATGACAATGAAAATATTCAGAATAATAAAAAGTCATTATATTAAACATAGACTTGGTATTATGAATTTTACCACTTTCACAAGAGCAAAGACGTAAAATAAATCGATAAAAATATTTATTCTATTCATGAGTATTATTTAAAGGAAACCAAAATGGCGTCCAGAAAAGTTACATAACAAATTACATTTGACAAAAATTCTAATCGAGATATTTTAAAGTAAAACATGAAAAATAAGAAAGTAATATATTTTCAATTTACTAATTTTTTTCCAAATATATTTTACACTAAGTATTTATTCATTGTATTCATAAAGTATCTTAAATTTTAGAGATTATAATTATGGTTGCTGCTACTGATGGCTAGCTTTCCACTGTCTCATATTATCAACTTTTCTTGTAGCTCTCGGCTACCCTTAGTGATTCGGATCATAACTTTCTCGGCGACTGCGACGAATGACTGGACTCTTCTTTTCGGCTCTCTCTCTCTCTCTCTCTCTCTCTCTCTCTCTCTCTCTCTCCCCCTCTCTCTCTCTCTCTCTCTCTCTCTGATGTGAACGGTGAGTCCCCGTCTTTTGCTCTACTACTCCTACCCGTAAGCGCTGGTTTGTATGGAAAATTGAGTAGCACCATTAACCTCGCAGATGTTTCTCGAGATGCATATTTCTATTGTTATTTGTCTGAATTTTCGTCTTCTTTTTAGACCACGGCTACCTGTCAATACCCATTGAGTTCTCAGGAAAAAGAACAAAAAATATGAAAACACTTACATAAACTCTTTCGAGGAAATGATAGTGATCCAATTATCTGGGTTTTTTTGGGGGTTTTTTTCGACTAAGTTGGGCCACAACGTACCAAATCTCATAAATGTTGAATCTATATATTTTGAGCGCGTTATGATGAATATCGCAGGTAAGAAAACATCATTTTGGATCAAAAAACGATGTAGATAAACAAGTGTGGTTCATGTTAACTACACTTTTCTATTTGTGGTAGGAATATGTATATTCGTTTACATTCCTCTTTTTCTTTCTTCAAAAATGGACTATGCGCATGAACAGCATAGTATTTAGATAGTTCAACTTTAAAAGTCCTTTTCTTGTGCCTCTGAGGTGGACTCCACTTTTACCCTTGCTGATTGTTGCGTCGGTGACTTTTCATCTTCTCCAACACATAAAGATGTCTCTTTCATCTCTAACTGCTCTTCCTACCTGCCATGGCATGTCTCCAGAGCTCATCTCTTTCGTCTGATGTCTTTTATTCCCTTTAATTTATATATTAATACTATAGTGGTTATTACGTCGAGTAACATAATTATTCCTGCGCTACCAGATCAGTTATCAAATTATTTCTCGTAGGCTGTTTTTGTTACAACTATACGTTTCTTCACTAGTTGCTGTAAATTAACTTTTCTTCTAGGACCTACCAGCTAGACGATGCTCTGGCGAGAGCGAGGAAAACGTCTCTGTTCTCAAATCTTTCTTTTGATTGATAATAAAGCGACAAGATTAAGGATTTTTTATAGGCCGAATAATCCATAGGGATCTAAATTCATAGGCAAAAGTCCCATATACGTCACCTTCACACACTTTCAATAATTCTAGAGATATCGCCCATATACCATCCGACAATCCCTATAAATAAGACTATTTGGTGGGCATGTAACCAGCGTAATCGTCTTACACTGCACAAATGTTTTATACGTCAGCAGCATCGGTGAAGCGTGTTCAAGTCCTGTTGTTGTCATTTCGTACTTAGGAAAAGTATAACCTATTTCTCCTCCCCCTCCTCCCAGCTATGTGTTAAATAACAGAATGTTAGATGCCCTCTAGCCTTGAGTGGCAGCTAGAAAAGCTATTTTAAATTCAAAACTGTGGAGAAGACAATGCAAACCCACTCCACTCTCTTTTGTAAGAAGTTATGATAACTGACATATTTTACAAAAATGAATTTGTGGAGAGTCATGATCGCCTACCGTCTTATCTCCTGAACGGACATTGCATCTGAAAAAAAAAAAAAAAACATTACCAGTAACTTTTTAGGTTGGATGTTAGAAAAGTACTGCAATAATACTATGAAGATCTACAATGTAACCGGTAACTATATAAATGGGCTTAGGGCTAGCCAGCTATCATTACGATTGACTTTTTGACTTTTGATGAACAAAAAATAACTGTCATTGACATAAAAAAGTGACTTAATTTATAGTTGAAAATATGTGTGGGTAAAAATTAATTTTTATTTGAATAAAAAAAATAATTTGAATCCATAGGGAAAAGCATAGTGACGAATCCAAATTTATTATTTTTGGATTTGATCATCAGATGAATATTTGAAGAAGCGTACAACCATTACCATTAATCACGGAAGAGAGAACATCATGGTGTGAGATGACTCTCAGTCCTTTTTTGCAAATTAAGGGAATTCTAGGTACTAGTACTGAATAAGATTATGCTACTATACACAAAGAATCATGGTTTGATGGGAGCTTTTTAGCCTGATAACGACTCAAAGTACACCACCAAACGAGTCAAAACCCACCAGGGAACTCAAACTTCTCAACATAAGTTCGACACTAATATTCAATATAGTTCGACACTAATATTCAATATAGCTCGACACTAATATTCAATATAACAAAAGTCGAATAACCTGGTAGAATGTTGCGTGAAAATCTCAAGAAGAAGAGAAAGTAATTTAATTTCATTGAAAGCCGGCAGACGGGAAATTGTACGTATTTGTTCGTTCATTTTCTCCATTTTCCATACTTATAAAGAGGGACGCTCTAAAAGTAGTACATGCTATTTTTTCCAAGAAAACTTTTTCTATGTACCGTGACCCCTCAGGACGTTGGCGATCACGACTATCCAAAATTTCCTGTGATTTGTAGATTTTAATAATTTTTGTCTTTTTGTTATCTCGCCTAAAACGTTTCCCACCATCCATTTACTTTAGCCGGCTATGTAAGGTTATGCGTTGTTTTCCTCTTGAGTTCATTCTGTTCTTGTGAGTATCTAATTTTGAAAGCTCTCTATCCTCATGATGTGCCGTAGACATTTCAAATGTCTCTTCCTGGTGTTAAATGCAAGTGTCCTTTTTGTTTACATTACTACAATAGCTAGACAGACACTATTTTCCTGAAGTCACTACTATAGTCACGACGCATTGTTGAGCCACTTTCAACTCGTGCAAGTTCACATGAAACGTAACTCAACACTCACATGGCTGTCGCTACTGCTGAAAAGTAATACTCACTGCCTAAATGACATTACAACCGCTGTTTAGTCTCCGTTTACGTTCATTAAGTGTCGATAAATTACAACAGATGCAATTTTTGCATATATTTGAATTTAATGATACATTTCTACTTCGAATATTGAAACAATATAATCCCGTCCCTGAATTAAATGGCAACATAGGTGAATGTGTCTGTGTTTAGATGTTTGCGGCTTCTAGAGAGATAGCTAAGAAAATCAATACATATTTCTAAAAATCTACTATACTGCGCGATCTCTCTCTCTCTCTCTCTCTCTCTCTCTCTCTCTTTCACACACATACACACACACACAACGACACACTCCATCTTTCTTTTTCGTCTCCGCCTTCCCACTCATTCATTTTCTCATTGAAAAATGATCTGAATTTTATTTCCTTTATATAATGAGTAAGGTACTGCTTTCAGGTGTTTCTTAACTTCAATAGAAAGAAGATATTTTTTCAAACAGTTAATGCCCACATAATGTTTTTACTATTTTTCTTTGCATATTCGTGCAGTATCCATTTTCTTAAAATGTGCATGTGCGCGATCATTTTTATAGTATGAATCATGCTCTTGAAATGCCTGTAAATTAGAAGTGATTTTTTCACAAAGCATTGTCGAAACTTGTTTTTTTTTATGAGCGCTCTACATTATAAGGATCTGAAATCTGTCTGTGACTGTATTTGCTGCAGTAACACAGCAAAACCGGCATATCTTCACGAAATTTGTGTTAGGACAATACGGTTAAATTGGTCTAATTTGAAAAATAAAACGATTTCCAGATCAGTTTGCGAATAAATAATAGTGTTGGAGTACCGTTCACACTCACCTCAATAATGTTCTGATTATTTAAATATACAATACTGAAAAAAAAATTTTAAAATTGTAATTATATATATATATATATATATATATATATATATATATGAGCAGCAACCTTTCTTTTAAACATCTTTCATTAGACAAGGAAGATTCAAATAATTTTTATTTAGTTTTTCCAGCATCCTTACGTATTTCCGTTTTGTAGGAGTAAGGAAGTGCAGACATTTTCATTGTCCCAAATTTCAAGATGGCTTTGTTTTTGTGTTAGTTTTTCTTCATGTTTTGACTGTTTAAGTTGTATTTTACTTTTGTGTTTGTCTGTCTATATTTCTGAGATGAGGTATTATGTACACTATTTACATTATTCGGACAATTGTACGCTCCGGCGTTCTTCAGGTGGTTGGAATGTCGAACTGAACCCTTTATTCGCTCGCTGGGGTAGACTGTTCTAGCTCCACGTGCCATGTCTAATGGATGCCAGGTATCAGTTATCTTCTGTTAATTCCTTTCTCCAAGTTCTTCAAACAGGTATTGAACTCACACTCTTTGGGTCCTGTCACTGGATCTAACTAACGCCTTTATCCACTGTACCATCTGTTCTTGAGGACATCTGTGTGTGAATTTCTGGGTATTATAAACCTAATGTCTTCAGACCTTTTTATACCAGTGCTTATATTGCAATTTTTGCTCTTATTATTTCATGTTTTTACCAGAGCTCATATTGCAATTTTCGTTGTTATTATCGTTTTTCTCTGGCACTCCTTATTATTGAATTTTATTATTAGAAAAAGAACATCATTGGAAAAGTCGTAAACTTACTGAATCAACACCTATGCTAGGCCACAAAAATCTCCTGAGCCGACCAAGCATAGAAATGAATACAATATGGAAACCAGTAATAGAGTGTCAGAGAAAAGCGATAATAACAACGAAAATTGCAATATGTTCTGTTAAAAAGACTTGAAATAATAACAGAAAAAATTGCAATATGAGCACTAGTAAAAAAAAAATGGTTGCTGAAGATATTAGGTTCATAATACCCAGAAATTCATACACATATGTCCTCAAGAACACATGGTACAGTGGATAAAAGCGTTAGTTAGATCCAGTGACAGGGATGACATCTTAAGACATTAAATTGGGGTTATATGGAGAATAAAATCTTAATTAAAAACTAAGAGAGGAATAAAAAGGGGGTTAAAACATCTTTAAAATATATAGATAAAGTTATATTTAAGTACAAAGTAATATTCCCAAAACAAGTTTATTTATTAATCAGATATATTTAAATAAATTATATTTATTTATTAATAAGATCTATTTAAATAAGTTATATTTAAAAATAAGTCATATTTAAATAATTTATATTTAAAAATAAATAAAATTATATTTAAAAATATGTTATATTTAATATAAAATAAATAGGTTATATTTGAAAATAAAAAATATATTTAAAATAAAAATATAATAAGATAA